GGGCTCCTTGCCTCTAAGCAGGAGACCTATTGTAATTGTTCGGATTATTATTATTATGTTTTACAGATTAAAGATGAAAATTGCAGCAGAGAGGGTTCTTTATTCCGCCGATTTTTGTACCAAACATTAGTCCTAGACCAATGCTCCGAATCGCTTACAAAAAAATCACACAGATGCGCACCGAGGTGTAGATATTCCCCTTAAAAATCTCTAGTCTCTAGGCCCAATAGCAAAGGGGAGATGTTTCAAAATTAATTCCAAAATTTCAAAGTTTGACAGCAAATATTCCAAGAACTAATTGTTCCAACACTTCTAAATCTCTTGTACAGATGAACAATCGAATTCCCAACAATTTTGCCTGGACGGGTCAAGTCGCTAAAACGTACCGTTTGGCAGTTATTTTTGTTTTCAGTTTTTGGCCATGTTTTTCAGCAGTTTTCTGAGTAGTTTGCTCCCAAAATGTCCAAATTCTGCACACAAAGTGCCAGTGCCAAGAACAACTGAGATACAGCCTTTTACAGAGGGAACTATTTCTTCTCCGGAAGTTACATTACCCCCGCGACCCCGGATGTATTTGGAAGATCCGCTCGCCTGTCAAAACGTGTTCTGGCTCCGTTTTGGACGATGATTTCTAGCCCTCAGATACAATGGATAGATAGATAGGCCAAAGGGGCCCTCACCCTTGCCTGCAACTATATTTATGAATTCGTATTTTTCTTGACCATTGGTCAACACGCCTTTGTGAGTGTACCAAATACATGTTGTACATATCCAATGGACATTCTTGTCAAACGTTCCTGAACATTACAAAATATTGATTCCGAATGCTCTGGTTCTCCAAAGCTGATTGGAATACAGTCAGCTGAATTTGAATATTTCTATCACAGGTTTATCGGGACAAGGGCATTGTATATAGTATACAGTACATTTTACCTTCTCTTTTTTAGGAATCTAACATAACATGGGGAAAATGAACCTAAAACTGACCTTGATTGCAATGACAACTGTGTATCAAATTGCAGGTAAGATATATCAGGTCAGATGTTAAGAAACCGCAATTAGTCAAGGGTAATTCATATTATGTCAAATATTGGAGTTATTTTGATAGATGTCAGTTGATAAGTGGAAGATAAGTAGAAGGATAATTTGGAGATAAACATACTGTCTTTGGAAATCAGAGGTATATCACGAATTATAATAGCACGTTTGGTTTTAAATTAAATTTAGAGCTATAATAATTCCGTTATATACCACTGATTTTCCAACACAGTACGTTTATCTCCACTCTACCATAACCGCGTTATTAAGATTTGAAACAAAATACATACTGTGTAACCATTGGAAAATAAAAGTATATAACGTGATTATATACATGTGAATGACTTTGATTAACCAATCACAATCCAGCATTTACTGAGGACATGGTAGAATTCTTATTCGTTCGTTTATCATGCAGTAGGTTTCATGTTTAAACTTCCTGCACAATACCCCCCCTCTCTCTCTCACTCACTCACTCACCGTCTGTGTGTGAGGTGAGGTGAGGTGAGGTGAGGGGAAATTGGGTTTTACGTCGTACTTGAGAATATTTCGTCATATGACGACGTGCATGCGTGTGTATGTGTATGTGCGGCTGCTTGTACTAGCCAAGACTTAAGCTGGTTTTATAGTGCTAGCCCACTGAGATACCATGCCGCAGTGAAGCATGAATACCCCACTCAGACACATTATACTGACTCCGAGCCGACCAGTCCTTGTTGTACCCATTAATGCCGAGCGCCAGGCAGGGACCAACAAGTACCATATTTTAACGTCTTTTGGTATGACGCGGTCGGGGATCGAACCCACGACCTTCCGCTCTCCGGGCGGACGCTCTAACCATTACACCGCGGAGGCGGTCCCGTCTGTGTGTGATGTTATCAGTTATTCACATGCTTCAAACAAGACACTGCATCTGACCACCCACTGCATTCAGTCGATGACCAGTGCAGAGTTGCGTCCCTTGCATTCCACAGGATCCTGGGTTCGACCTGTATGTTTTTCTAGGTTTGACAGCACCACACACGTGCTCAGGAGTTTTACCAAGGTAGTAAACTTCTGAAGGCACATTACTTCGGGCTTTCCTCCCTCATAAAGCTGACCCGTGAAGATCCTGGTTAGAATATTGATCTTCAGTAACCCATGCTTGTCGTAAGAGGCGATTAACAGGATCGGATGGTCAGGTTCGCTGACTTGGTTGACACATGTCATCAGTTCCCAATTGAGCAGATCGATGCTCATGCTGTTGATCACTGGATTGTTTGGTCCAGACTCGATCATTTACAGACCGCCGCCACATAGCTGGAATATTGCTCAGTGAGGCGTAAAACTAAATTCGCTCACTCACCCTTATGAAGCTGACACTAGGTGATACAACTAGGATACTGTTTAAAGGGGCGATAAACGTATTTACTGCTACAATGGATACCTTCTGATTATTTGACTCGACAGAATATGCATTATGTAAATGATGTCATGAATGTTACTCACATGTACATTTATTTCTGACTGTAAATGCTCATACCATACCTGCTAGCTTTGATTCAATTAGCTACAATTACAGATTGAAAAATTCAACATCTGCACCATTTTATACAGAGCTGATAAACATATATACAAATAAAGTCAATGAAGGTAATCCGATCTTCTTATGTTAATATAGACCACTTCACAATTCATTAAAGTGTATGTCTATTCGTGTGTCAACAGCCAACCTTCTTCATGTCTATTTCCCAGCAAACCAGTGGAAGGCGCCACTGCTGACGAAGAATGTAACCGGGGCAATCCGTGTCAATGACTTGCCGAGACCCCCAAAAGGGAGATTAAGCTGGTATAAAATAAATAAAGACGGACCCAGTCAAATCCCAAATGATAGAAGAAAACAAACAGATCAAAAGGGTGAGCAATGATGTTTGACAGAGATTTGAAGGCCTCGTCATGTATGCATATTTTCCTTGCTATATGAGTTCAATTCAGTGATTTACTGCATCAATTTTGTGACTCAGGTACACTTCACTTTGTATACGTGGAAGTAACGGACACTGGCAAGTATAAATGCGGAAGCTCCATCGACAACTCCATAAAACTCGGTAGCCCGGTCCAGTTGAACGTCAAAGAAGGTAGGTGTGCTGAGGGAGTGACCCGGACCTTCACGTGTCGTAGGTGTTCTGAAATGGATTTCTTTTGTGTGTAGGACCCGTGAAGGTCCGGGTCTATTAGAATAGCCCTTCAGCAACCCATGCTTGCTATAAAAGGCGACTATGCTTGTCGTAAAAGGCAACTAACGGGATCGGGTGGTCAGGCTCGTTGACTTGGTTGACACATGTCATCGGTTCCCCATTGCGCAGATCGATGCTCATGCTGTTGATCACTGGATTGTCTGGTCCAGACTCGATTATTTACAGACCGCCGCCATATAGCTGGAATATGGCTGAGTGTGGCGTAAAACTCAACTCACTCACTCACTCTTTGTGTGTAGTTAAACGCCTTACTAAGCAATACTCCAGCAATACGATCGCGGACAGTAAGTAATCCAGTCTGGACCAGACAATCCAGTGATCAACAGCAGGAGCATCGATCTACACAACTGAAATACGATGACATGTGTCAACCAAGTCAGCGAGCCTGACCTCCCAATCCCGTTTGTCGCCTTTATCGACAAGCGTTAGTTGCTGAAAGTTGCATGAAGGGCCAGGTTTTAACATTGATTGTCATCAAACCATAGGTGTTATATGTGGCAACGTAAGGACTAGGTGATAACTTTCCTGCATGTTTTATTCATTAAGGGCAAAGATCTGCTCAATCGGGCTCAAACCAATCTACGATGTCACTCGAGAAAGATACATGTTGGTTGACGTGGCCCAGTCAAGTGTGTATGCTGTAATACCTTATACAGGATTGTATACCACTATAACCTTTGTACTCATGTCAACAAAATGAAATGATCCCATCACCTAATTCAGTTTCTAACATGCATCTGAAGATTGTTATCGTTAACTGAATATGTCAAAAGTTGGTACAGTATTGGAAGTTTTATTCCAGGTGAAACCAACAGCAATGTACCAGTTAAGCTCTTGCGGTCTACCGGAAACACGTCTGCCAACCTGGGAGAAGACGTCACACTAGAATGTATCTTCGGCGGCAGGTACGCTTAGCTTTCTATGGGGCGATGAGGTAAAGGGCGTTCTTTAAAGGGAGTTGGGGTAGATTAGTGGTTAAAGCACTTGCTCGTATTGACAAAGGACCGGGTTTGATTCCGGTTGATTCCATATTGGAATTGACGTTTCTGTTATATTACTGCAGGTGACGTAAAACCAAATTCTACCACTCTTTGTAAAAGGCATAGTGATTCTGTAATTGAAGGATTCAGTATCGAAGTACAAACCTGTAAACTTGTTTTCGCTGCTAAATATAACATGACCAATACCTGGAGGACGTTTTGAAGTTGTATTGAGAAATACCACGTTCGGTGGGTAGCAACGTACCTATGTGAACCTGATACAGAATACAGATACAAAACACATCATGGTAAATTCATCTTTCCAACCATTTCAGATGTTCTTGAAGCAAACCCAGCCATGTCAGTTTAAATAGATGAATACTAAAACATATTTCGATGTAAGATGTCAGGGCAAGAGAACAATCTTGATTTTCTTGTGAAACAGCACGCAAAGGCAATCTCGCGGTGAGAACTATATGGATGACTAGTGGCAGTAGGCGTTCGCGGAATGGTTAAACATCTGTTGCCCTATTGGGAGTAAACCCCCACCCCCACCCCCACAAAAAGTAAGACAAATCATTTTTCTCTTTAACAGGCCAATCCCAACTGTTTCCTGGTTCCACGAGAATAGAAAGCTGAGCAACAGCGACAGTTTGACCATATCAAATAGCTCAATTACAATTAAACAGGTGTCTAAGACAGACACAGGTATATATAGCTGTTCCGGAAATAACAATGATGGAGAAAGAGTCTGCAACTATGAATTTGAATGTCATAGGTAAGTAACACAATTTCAGTCTCTCTGTAAGTCAGTTTCTTTGTTACCTTAGATATCCATGTCACGTATACTTTAGGTTTGGTTTGGCTGTTGCTTAGCGCGAGCCGGACCACCCGATCCCGTTAGTCGTCTAATACGACAAGCTAGGTTGTTGAAGACCAATTCTAACCCGGATCTTCCCGGGTCACACATACTTATAAACTTTAAAAAGATCAATCATCTAATTGACTTGTAGTTCTATGTTGAGTATAGAAATAATCATCTTTGCACATTTCATTAAATCTCTTCTTAGTCATCATAAAATAAATCAGTAAAGTAAATTTCTATACATGTATATTCCGCAGATCCAAATGAAGTACCACCTTCGACCAGAGGTAGGTTTAAATTTGCAAAACAAATTAACTTTAATAAAAGAATTTTAAGATTTGTGAAACATGTGAATGTTAACGTATGCTTATGTCGTTAAAAATGGAAAAGCTTTTAACACGTTGCACTAGCAAAGACGTTTTACACTTAACAATCCCGTCTTGAGATCTCTGCTACTGCTCTCTCAGAGGGGAAAGCGCTCTACAGCACAAACATCATCGAAAGACGTATCACTTCATTTGTGTATTTTTGAAAATTAGAATATTAATATATGAACTTTGTTTCTGTTTCCTCGCAGGTCACCGGGAAACAAAGCTGACAACGCTAGCTGTAGGGAAGACAGACATAGGAACTGCGAAACCGAATCCAGGCAAGAATATCATTAAAACAATGTAATGTGATTATGCAGGTCGGCTTAGCGGTTAGTGTTAAAATTATGCGTGTTTAAAGCGAAGGACATTTACACATGACAAATAAAATAGTGCGGGAAAACGTGTCACGAAAATGATTTTCTGGTTTCGTTATGTACGAGAATAGCATCTCTTCAGCATATCAGCGGAGCCAAAGCGTTGCAGCGACAGCGACGACCACACCTGTGGCAGATACCGTGCCACTACCAGCCGATCCCACTTCGAATCAGGACATGTGTATAGCGCTGATCTCCACACCCCATGAGCATGCTCTAAGCGCATACAACAGTTCAAGTCAATTTTAATATCTCCCAAAGAGATAGGCCTTGAGATGTGCTTTAAAAACGTCAAGTAAGGGAGAGTATCTCAGATCATAGGGAAGGAGATCCCGGAAATATATTTGAACCTCCTGTGTAAAGAACAAGCTCACAGCTCACCGATGAAACTGTGCATGTGAACACGAACTATAAAATAAATTGCATTTGAAATGTAAATGTGACTATTTTTATATACTGACTCTGGTTGTTAATGTTTCAGCGATCGACGCGGGATCGGCTGGTGGTGGCACGGTATCTGCCACAGGTGTGGTCGTCGTTGTCGCTGCAACGCTTTGGCTCCTCTGATATGGTGAGAGTCATGTTAATATTTCACTCTGTGTGTCGGGAGGACCGGGTGAAGGAAGGCCCTGATCTAGATTTGTCCGCTCCATAACCCAGTCCTTCTCACAATCCCTGAACCACATTGTTTCAATTCACCCAGCCCTTTCAGCAGTGTGCGAGAGTTTCCAAGTTTTGCTAGCCAGTCGGGCTAGCTACGTCTGAAAGTTACTAGCCCACAAAATATTTCACTAGCCCGAAAATTTGAATGTAGAAACTAAGCAAAAGATTACAAAAAGGTAAAACACCATCTTTTATCAGGCCATAATCTTGCATGAATTAAAAGTGTATTATAACTTAACAAGTCGGAGAGAGTGACATATTTACAAAATGACCCCACGAAAATTCACTAGCCATTCGTGCCAGTGACTGTGGAGATTTACTAGCCCGACTCGATTTTTACTAGCCAAGGGCTAGCAGGCCAGTGGCTATTTCTCACACTGGCCTTTCAGCCATGCTAAAGACCCAAATGAAACAAATCTCGTCAGCTTACATAACCGAAATACTCACCCACATTGCATTGTATTATCGGCATCTCGACCTTTTACAATTAATGTATGAAATGATCCTCTTTTCTCTCAGTAACGTTTAGGTCTCTTACAATTTACTAAGTAAACGTGTTACATGTTATTTTTCTTTGATTTCAGATCCAAGCATAAAATGAGTCCTTTAGGCTCGTTAAGGTACCACGACAACTCCCGCGGTTGTACAAATCAATAATGAACAATGTAATGTGTGTTCGCCTTGTAGATTGCAATTGAAGCTTTATGTGTATTTAACGTCATTCCTCATAAGGGACCGTTCATAATTTATGGGGAAATGATTTTATGGAGAAGCATTTACAATGTGGATGACCCCCTAAAAATTTATGTACAAATTAATGCCCCCCTCCTGCCCATAACTTCTAAGCATAAATTTAAACGTATTTTATGTACAAAATTGCTGACCCCCCGCTAGTACGTGTGCATAAAATTGCTGACCTTCCTAGATCCCCAGAACAAAATGGGTGACCACCCTTAAAATCATCCTCAGACCCCTAACCATAAATTATGAACGGTCCCTAATGCCATATGTGTATGATAAATATTGCATTTATTGCCTATTGCTTGAAGTTCCGATAGACTATTACACGTCGCTCGAAGCATTAGTTTATTACTTTAGGTTCGACTCCCTCCTCATGTTTCAAAGTCACATGACGAGTTTCCTTGTGAAATAAATGATACATTGTATATACTGTACTATGTAAGGCCCTTCGCTTTTTAGATATTGAATGTTATTTTTCGTGTAACCTATTTTTATCATATATTTGTGCTTCTAAACCATTGCCAACTTTTGTATGTAGGAGAAGATTATGTCTACCATTGTCTACGTTTTTATAATGCAGCCTTATGATATTATAATACAAGTTATGGTTTCAATTAGGTAAGCACAGTGCATGACACAACGGCGGCAAGTATTTCAACATGACTAACATTTAATTCATTAATCTTTACAATACGTTTACAGTTGATCTTTGTTTTATATTTTGAATATACACTTTAATTAAGAAAAACAAACTTCATTCGTGTCCATGATTGAACAAGTATTTAGACTATGTATTCGAACGCACACTTAATGCCACCTTTCGATGTTTAAAATATATCTTACAATGTTGATCAATAAAATTTGCATGAAAAATATCAACTTCTGTGGATTTTTACATTGCCTATTCAGACACATGTATATCATTAAAAGAGTCCCCCAAAGTATATTAGATAAACGTCAAGCTATCCTCTTGCAAAGGATAATATTATATGCGACCAGTTGTAAATATTTTGAACATTTTGTATGTGTCATTTGACAAATCAGCTTGCCTGGGGTATAGTGAAAAATACATTGCGAACCTCAACAATCATATGTCTTTTATCAACCTACCTCACGAATAACGGGTCAGCTCAGACAGTCTCTTCAAAGTCGTATCATATGGTTATACTATATAATCAGAGATGTGTATTGTAAATCCATGGGATGTGAATTGTAATCCCTGGGACGTGAATTGTAAAGTGGGTTCCCAGACCTCTGCTGTGACTTTGCACTGATCATTTCTAAACCTAGGATACTATTCATGATTGATACAACTTTGTCTTGCTATCACATTATTGAAAACCTCCATTATATAGTGGCAATAACTGGTTTCGAACCTGCAACCCTTTGCTCTCTAACTAGGCGCTTTTATCCACTAGGCTACGAAGGATCACTGTGAAGAATGAGATGAAACGGGTGTTTCTCACAAGACGGGTACTGCGGGCAGTCCACGTGCAGGGAACGGGGAGCACGTGCATTGCGCGTGCAAGGCAAGGTGTTGGCTGCCAGTCGCATCCCCGTTGACACCGGCTGTCCCATCAATGTTGTTCTGCTCTGCGCGTATTGATGTCGATCGTAAAATACTATTTTAAAATATATTTTACGCAAAAACGGTTGATAAGTCAGAAAAACCAATCCTACTCGGGTTTACTAGAACATCCCTCCTCTCAGGGTTCACAATCTCTAGTAAACCCTCGTAGTCGTGGTTTCTCCTATACGTAGCGACCGCCTCCGTGGTGTAGTCGTTAGAGCGTCCGCCCGGAGAGCGGAAGGTCGCGGGTTCGATCCCAGACCGCGTCAAACCAAAAGACGTTAAAATATGGTACTTGTTGGTCCCTGCCTGGCGCTCGGCATTAATGGGTACAACAAGGACTGGTCGGCTCGGAGTCAGTATAATGTGTCTGAGTGGGGTATTCATGCTTCACTTCGGCATGGTATCTCAGTGGGCAAGCACTATAAAACCAGCTTAAGTCTGAGCTAGTACAAGCAGCCGCACATACACATACACACGCATGCACGTCGTCATATGAGCGAAATATTCTCAAGTACGACGTTAAACCCACTTTCACCTCACCTCCTATACGTAGCATACATAGAGAGATATTGACTATGTTATGTGAAAACCTGTAACCAAGGATATTATATGTCAGGTCCATTCTACAGTAGAAAACCGAAACCGGAGAAGAACGGGACTTTCATGAATCACGGATCACTGTTCGGGTCATCTTGAACATAGAGAACGAGTCATTTGGATTGAAATGCACGCTCGTTGCATGCAGTATGGAGAGATGTACATGGGTTTGACTTGGGACAAAAAAGCGTGTGTGTGGGGGTTGTGTGGGTTGCGTGGGTGGTGTGGGGGTTGTGTGGGTGGGTGGGTGTGTGGTGACGCGCAGATTTAGTACCAAGAGTTAAAATGTATAGCCTTGTTGTAGAATACATTGTATAAATTTGAAAATATTAGCGACAAAACCCTATCCAATGGCCATACGAAATCTCTGACTAACATAACATCCGATTGTACCTCGAGTATGTGTTTCAAGGTCAATATCGAAGATTGATAACACTCTGTTTTCGTGAAAGGTGAGCATGTCCTCTCCAAGCGTTGGCATTCGGCATACACACATGCAAAGGCAAGTCAATTGTTCTATTGAACTTAGACGAGAACATGTGAAATCCTGTCTTATGAGTAGGAACACTTAGTTTCAAATAAAACACACACGATTGTTTGAAGACAAATCATTGTTTGACCACAAACACGACACTGGACACTGTGGTTGTTAAAGATTCAGTTTTGAATGCTTATGAAGCATTTCATGAAGCCTAATTCTACGAAGAATAGGTATTTTGTTAATCTTGCAGTGTTTGTAACGAGGCTTGGTTTCGCTGGTATCTGAGTAAGGAGGTGAATGGTTATTCGGGTGAGGCAGATTGTTTGCTGTAGGAACACTACATGACATCGCAGAGGAGTTATATGAGGAACGTGATAAGCGAGCGTGCAGAACATGGCAACATACTGACGTTGTTGGCTGCAATGAAGTCGTGTACAATTCTGGCGGTACAGAGTTTGGCGTTGTCATGCAGATCGGGGACACCATGTGACATAATAGAACTAGTAGTTAAAATGGACGAAGAATGTCATTCATGCAAAGATGAGCTTTGAAAGTCCCGTTAACGATGACACCAGGATTAAGTTCGTAGGCTCCAAGGGGCGGTGGGGTGGCCAAGTGGTTAAAACGTTCGCTCGTCACGTCGAAGACCCGGATTGGATTCCCCACCCGAGTACAATGTGTGAAGATCATTTCTAGTGTCCCCGTTATGATATTGCTGGAAAATTGCAAAAAGCGGCGTAACGCTAAACTCACTCCCTCGTAGCTTCCAATGTAGAGTTAGAATAGAGTTCAGTTCCTGGCAGTAGTAGCAACAGATGGTTTCGTCTGTGTCGTTGGATAATCGAGACTGGTGTTGACGTTCAATAATCAGATCAAGGCCTATACATGACATGTTATTAAAGAACATCCACGTCAACTTTCCTTATGATACAGAACTATATTAACTATGTTCCTGTGTCTGTAGATCCACGATTTCACTGAATACTATCACTGAACATGTTTTCAAGACAGCTATTTATCAACCATCTAGATATGACAAGCAGATGCCACCAGCGCAAGTCTGTTCCCTTCCCCCACCCCATATCCCTGGCTGCCACTGATTTTCTCCATCGAGGAGGCACGTGGATATTGTACTGACCCGATGAGGCGCCTGGAAAGAGCCCAATGCAACATCTGAACTTTTGGGAGTAGAGTGAACACGACTGGCCTCTTGAGATGCCAGAATTAGTTTTACACGCCTTCACTTTCATTTTATCAGTCTCGTTATTTTTGCGGTTGCGTATAACGTTGCTGCACTTGCTACGTGGGTCAGTACAGATTGCGGAAATTTTATACTGTTTCAATTCCTGTAGGAACTTTATATCCAAAAATATACATCAGCCGTCACTTAAACTAATATATGATTGTACATTAGCAACGTTTATACCCCGTATGAAATATAAGACATAGTTTCATATTCCTCATCAAACCTAATACTGAACAGATCCCCACATGGGTACAATGTGTGAAGCCCATTTCTGGTGTCCCCCGCCGTGATGTTGCTGGAATATTGCTAAAAGCGGCGTAAAAACAAACTCAGTCAGTTTGTAATATTGAACAGAGGCTTTTGAAGCAGGAATGACTTCTGCTTGACAATGGTACAAGAATCTGTATGGAAACGTCGCATTCGCGAAAACAGAAGTTGTTATCCATGACGTTTGTTCAATACTGAACAAGATAATTGTCGGTAGGCATAATCGGTAGGATATTTATAGTACATAAAACCATGGCTGCCATTTTTGAAAATATATAATTATGCATAGTGATACGTTTAGTGCAGAGAGAAATGGGAACACGAAGATTGCCTAATATGGAGATTGGGACAACAGAAGAGGTAGCAGGGACAAAAATTACATCTGTCGTTTTTGACATCAAGAGGGCTATTTCTATTGTGTAAAAGTTCTTTGCATTTTTTCTGTATGATAGACACCCAGGTACAGCATGGAAAATGTGTCAGTTTTGGCATGCAGAGAAATGGTTTTATTCCAGCAATGACCTGCACAATATTGGTGTCAGCGTTGATCCCAATAGGGAAGCGAAGTTATGATGCGCTGGAATAGAGTTATACAGATGTCCTGAGTCATTCGTTTGTAATGTACTTGATTCAACTGTGATTGAATCTCCATTGTTTTGCAATGTAGGAGTCATACTTGTGGAATCGTGTTAGCATACATCCATATTTGGATAGATGAAAAATAATTCGATGTAACAATAGTGGTAGTAATACAGGCCTCTGTAAAGTTCACACAAACTAAGGTCAAATATTTAGCACACTGTATTTTGACGTTATGTGGCAAATTAAGTATGATATATTGTCCAATAATCTTCTGAAAATTCAATGCATCTCAGTTTGTTTGTTCTTTAAGTAATGTTCCAGCTATATGATTGTTGCCTGTAAAGAATCGAGTCTGGACCAGACAATCCAGTGACCAACATCGCGAGTATTTATCCACACAATTAGGATGGGATATGGTGACATGTATCAACCAAGTCGGCAAGTCTGATTGTTGAAGAAAATATTAACCTGATGTTTTTGATTATTTGGTGTTTAACAATTTTAGCAATAATTCAGCTATACGACGGCGGTCTGCAAGTAATCGAGCCTGGACAAGACAATCCAGTGATCAACAGCATGAGCATCGATCTGCGCAATTGGGGTACGATGACATGTGTCAACCAAGTCAGCGAGCCTGACCACCCGATCCCGTTAGTCGCCTCTTACGACACGCATGGGTTACTGAAGATCAATCTTCTAAACCGGACCTTCACGGGGCACACGATTGGGATACGATGACATGATTGTGTCAACCAATTTCGCATGGGTTACTGAAGATCAGTTCTACCCCGGATCTTCACGTGTCTTAACCTGATGTGATGTCAGTGTCGTAAGCTGCGCCGGTTTCATTTTCGATATTTTGACTTAGCAAAATGTTTATCCGTGCCAGCTTTCTTGTTTATATATTTAGACATTCACCTAACGCGGGCATTATACGTACGCGATTATAGCTGTGAACATTCATGTCACATTTTCCCTCCATTGAGGTAAGGAAAGGGTTGTGAACGACATGCGTAGCTTTAATGTTCTTGTTATTTCAAGTATAACTCTCATGGGTAGTATTGGGTTCTGGGCACATTGAGCTGATGTAAGATTTTAATTTATAAGTATTACAGTTATATGAAGAG